AAAAGCCAACACAGAACAAGATGTTGTCCTTGATTTAATTAAAACCCTACAATACTAGCTGGTAAACAGGGAAGAGGAAACTACGGTCATGAGCAATCACTTTGACCCCAGTATAACCAGTGTGAGTATCCCTTATTTCAACATTCTGGTATAACCCCAAAATATTAACCATAAAAAGAAACTGAACAAACCACCATTTCTTAAGAAGATGATTTTCACAACTATCATGAGTTAAAAAAAAAAAATCATTCTAGGAAATGAAAGAGGCCACCCACCACCTTTCTGGTAAAATCAAAACAAAAACTCCATGTCACTACCCAGTATTACATCTACAAATTATTTCCTCCATGAACAAATCTACTGTTCAAGAATTCATTCATGAAATCAGGTACCAAGCTCTCCTAACAGAAAAGGAAATGAAACAATACAGTGTCCATTTTAACCCTCTGAAGCCAATGCAGTAATGGGCCACTTCTACTCAAATTCCATTTTTTTTTTTTTTAATCCTTATCTTTCTCCTCTCTTATACTACAAACATGTAAGTAAAAACCCTAAGGACAACTGCCAACTCTTCAACCTTCTTTCTCCCTCTCTTTTTCTCTTCCTTACAAATTAAAATGGATCAGATGTTTAGTCTACCTTAGCATAGTTTCTTGGGTGTACTATAATTTCAATGTTTAAGATTTATCAGTCCTCCAAATCCTTTTTTTTTTTTTTAAAGATTTTATTTATTTACTTGTCAGAGAGAGAGCGAGAGAGTGCACAAGCAGGGGGAGTGGGAGAGGGAGAAGCAGACTCCCCACTGAGCAGGGAGCCCAATGCAGAACTTGATCCCAGGACCCTGGAATCATGACCTGAGCTGAAGGCAGAAGCTTAACCAACTGAGCCACCAAGGCTTCCCAGTCCTCCAAATTATTCTTATAAGTCCTCCAGACTGGTGTTCCGGCTATGGCTCATGGTGGCTACTCACTGTTATGAGGTAATGCCTAAAACACCAACTGATAGGCAATTGTGGTTAGCAACCTAAAGGTTCATGGAAAAACTGTACAAGTAGCCATGCCATTTGTTTACCATTACTCCCTCCTGTTTTGTTACCCTCCAGGACAGGCTCTGGGATCAACCAACTAAACTAACGTTAGCACCCAATTCACTACTATGGACCTTGCTGACCTCAGCACTGTTATCTCCAGATGCCTCACACTTTCATCCCCTCTATCTTCTCAATTCTCTAAGTTGAAGGCAATACTTCCATTCATACCCAGACCACTGAGGCACCACTCCTTGGTTCTCAGAATTTCTCCATATCCAAGATTCCAATCTCTGAAATTCCTCCCTAACTACAACTTCCACAATTCTCCAATACTCACTGAACTTGCCCTATCTATATGATTCCATGAGTCTAGGAGGTGACAGGGTCTAAGGTCTTATTCCTTCCTTTGTTCTCACAGTTCATTATGCCCCTTTCTGCCTTCTCCTCTCCAGTCTGAACCTCTCTGGCTGTCAGTTCACTAAAAGTAGAAGGTTCTTATGTATTTTTGGGTTGTTCTAACCCAAATAATGCTGACTACTCAGAAGCATTGCCTGGGCCCCATTCTGCCTTGTTCAATTACACCTTGGATTCCTTTAGTCCTTGGTGTGTTGGCTTTACAATACCCAGAGTGGGGGAAATCATCACCTACTGAAGAACTTCTGGATCAAGTGATAGTATAAATTCAGCCATTTAACTTTCCCTGGTCCTTACTTCAGTTCCAATCCCTTTTTGTTCTCTTCCAATGCACTTCCAAGTTCCACTGCATCCACCCTAACACTCCACCATCTTCAAGCTCCCACCCTCCCTCTCTAGGCATGAACTGGTATCTTACTTTATTGAGACAGTACTACAGGCCATGAAGGTGTTCAACTGCCCTCTTCACCAAATGGGAGAGGGGGTAGCATATCATCACTCATCCTGTCTCCTATATCTAAAGAAGAGGTCCTAAAAAGCTGAACCTGGTCCTCTGACATGTTTGGTTTAGCATGCATGGTTGCTTTTTGCTTTTAACATATACACTTTTAAAAGAATACATTAATGAAAATTTTATTGAGATATCATTCACAGCATGCATGGTTTTTAAAACATAAATTAGTTGCCTCTTAAAAAACAAAATAGATTTAACATTATGAAATCCAAACCCCTGGCTTTTCTCAGATAATGAGATGAGACATCACTGGGCCCCTACTATGCAACTGGCTAATACTAAGCATTGGCAGTTACCTTTTCCCACAAAGCATGAGCACCTTACTCACCAGGTCCTCCCTACCAACCAGCTGCTTCCATATGCAGTCTCTCCACGTGGACCCATGGAGCATGGAATTTGTGGCTCCTAGAGCTAAAGGAAGAGTTCTAACTTCTTGCTCCCAGGGCTGAGATCTTTTCAGCCTCACCCCTCCCCACCACTGTCTGACTCCAAGGATCCCACCCAGGCATTGCATCTTTGATCTCTCTATGAATGAGGCAGCATCAAGTCAGTACCTACACTTCCTCTCTGAAATTCAGTCCTCAACCTCCTTTGATTCCACAACTTCAGCCACCCCTGACTTCAACCCCCTCCTTCTGGGCCCCCACGTACAAAGTTCTCCACTGGTTTTCTGCTCTTTGAGACATCGCCTCTCCAGCCCTCGTGGTAATGTCACATTGCCATAAAAGTCACTAAACACCCCCAATTTCTACCCTTACATCAACACAAACCAGCAATGGACCACACTGAGAAAAACAAGCCTAGACGTATAAACACTGACAATGGAGATATTTCTTAGAAATGTAAATCTGATGGCAGCACTCCTGTTCTCACAACACTTCCGTGACTCTCTACTACCTGCCTGCTTGGTAAAATCCATGTTCTTCTGCAGGCCCCAAGTACCTGCGACTTGGTCCCTTTCCACCAATCTACTGCTAGATTTGAGAAATCAGTGATAAACTAGCACTATTTCATATCCCTGTGACTTTACACATGCTCTTCCCTCTGGAAAACTCTTGTTCATCCTTTAACACCCAGTTAGGCAGAACAACCCTTCTTCTCCTGTATTACTGTAAACACCTTGCACATATATCAGTTGTTAACATGTATCAAACTGTACTATTTGTTTCCAAGTTTGTCTCCCCTACTAGGCTGTGGATTACCTGAGGTCCAGAGGCAACCATTAGTGAACTTCCTGACACATAAATTTTCTTTAAATGTTGGTTACCTGGCCCCACCAACAGGTCAAACAACATACCCACCATCCTTCCTGACACCAAGGTTTAAAACCTCTCCCTCAATCCCTACATCCACTCAGTTGCCAAATCCCAGTGAAAACTGTCACCTACCCATGTCCAGGTTGGAACATGTCTTTTCCACAGTTGGGTCTTCCTGCCTTCCAACTAAAGAGAAGACAAGTCCTTCTTCTCTCAAAAATCCTCACTGACTACTTACTGAATAAGGCCCAATGGCTTAACCTGGCATTTGGGTCCCTCAAGGCTCTGACACTTCCTACCAAGATATTCTGTGTGTTTTTGGACTTCAAGCCTTTGCTCACAACTACCTCCACCTGGGAATATTACTGGCTCTTCAAAGCCCGGCTCAAGTGCTGTCTCCCCCAACACATTTCCCCTTTGACAAAAGTGGCCACTCTTCTAGAGTGTGTCTTTGTTGTAAACCTAGGACATTATCACTTTCTACCTGTAGGCCCCATTCTCTCTAGCCAATGGAGCCCTAACAAACTAAATCTCCACATTCTCCTCTACTCTAGCATTAGCTAAATGCCGTGAAAGAGCAGGAAAACAAAGTAAACCATCCGAAGGGACCCAAAACAGTTGCCTGTATCTTATCTTAATCAGGACTCTACCTACCAGCTAGTTTAAACAATTCTTATTTACTCTAAATCTTCCTTCCCCCAAACTTTCTCCTCCTCCACAACTTAACTTAAAATACCGTAGATGTTGAAGTTTGCTTTCCTGTTCTTAATTTTTAAGTTAATGTTTTTTTCTTCCTCAAAACAATGTAAAACAAACTCCAAAACCAATGAACAACTATGGCATTCAATGCTTACCCATGAGTCTCAAGGAAAAAGAAACAGGATTTCTTACAAGTGGGAGGATTGGATTATGAGTAACACACATCACAATGATATATGGGCAAGTGACACTTACTACCAAGATATTGTTAAGACACACCTTTACCAAATAGCTTATGCTAAACTGCGTGGCAGGACAAGCAAGAGAACAGGAGTTGGGACGGTCTGGCAGAATATGCCAGGTTTTTCTGTAGAGCAAAAGAAGCACTTTCCACACTTGGGATGAGTCTTGAGTAAAGCTGAACTAGGAGCAGGTGAAGCACAAGTAAAAGCAGTGAGACTAGTCAGACAACAGGAGAGGTTTAAGCTTGAGAGTTGCTATGACAGAGAATTGGGAAAATAAGGTGGGACTGGACTAGTAAATGTTTTGTAAATCTCCAGAGGAGTTTAGAGTGAATGAGATAGGCAACAGGAGGTCCTCGTAGGTCCCAGGGCAGGAAAATGATTTTCTGTGGGAGGATCAGTTAAATGCAAGTTGTACTAGGGAGGGAGGGAAAGAGGGAGGAACGGAGTGAGGGCAATGAACTAAGGGAGGGGCACATACCAAGAATGAAGGTCTTAATTGCAGCAGAGGCAATGGAAAGGAGAGGAATGAGTGCATCTAAGAGATTTTCAGAAGCATTAACAGGACTTAGTCATGTCAAACCTTTTAGCTCTGGGGAGTGGGAAGAAATTCGGTAGCTAGGGAGAAAAGAATGAGGGGCCCAGGAAGCTAAAAATTAAAAGTTAGGGGGTGCTTGGCTGGCTCAGTCCATAGAATGTGTGGCTCTTGATCTCAGGGTCTTGAGTTCAAAACCCACTTTGGGCATGGAGCCTACCTTAAAAAATTAAAATAAAAACACTTCGAAAATTAAAAGTTAGGGGGAAAATTAAAAGTTAGGGGAAAGATTAAGCACAGGAAAGCAAACCTGATTCAACATCTTCAATGTTTTAAATTATGCTGTGGAGGGTGCCTGGGTGGCTCAGTTGGTTAAGCGACTGCCTTCGGCTCAGGTCATGATCCTGGAGTCCTGGGATCGAGTCCC